CACGAGAAAGCAGTGAGTAGGGCTTCCTCAGCAGAAGCTATTTGAGATGCTTGGTCGTGTGGGAGTATTTCGCGAGGTGCTAGGGAAGGGTGACAAGCCGCAACCCTTGGCACCCACCCCCGACCATGCTGAAAGATCAAATGGTACTTTGCGAAGGGCCATCATCCCGGCACAAAATCTTAACAGATGGATAAAAACCAGCAAGAATGTGTTTTGTGTGATAATGTTAATTATCTTTCTATTGTAGCCGATGTACCTACATAGTAAGAAGATTAAAGCCTCGCTTCCGGCTACCATCATTTTTCCAATCCCAAAGCGCGGCGACCCTTCCGACTAGAAACAACTTCTGTCCCATTATTCTTACATCTGTAATCTCGAAAGTGTTTGAAACCATTATATCCGACCAACTGCGTACGTTTCTCGAACGCGNAAATGATCGTCAGTATGGATCTCTCCCTCGTCCATCTACGGGTTACTTACTGCCGCTCACATCACATTCCTGGTACGGTCCGCTGTCAAAATTACCCCTGTTCGGATTCCATCCGTCTCTGGTATCGTGGCCACGTTGTTTCCTCATTAGGCGAACTATCTCCGTTCGAGTATATGGAGTCCTATCTCGGCCATTTACTGTAAGTTATACAAAGACAAAGTTAACGCCGGTGTTCCCCAAGGTTCCATACTTTCGCCAACTCCCTTTCTCTTATTCATCAACGATCTTTTATCCCAAACATCTAATCCTATCCACTGCTTTGCCGATGATGCCACTCCCCATTGTTCTCTTTCTTACCCCACAATCCATCAAGCTAATACCAACATCGATCACGGTCGCAGTGTCACTAGTGCTTCCCTTGACTTCGACCTCGGACTGATCTCTGCATGGGGTTTTACCAACCATGTGTGTTTCAGTGCTTCCAAAACTTCTCTCCTCTCAGTCTCTCTTAAACATGTCTCCGTTTCCCCTCAACTGATTTTTGATTCTCTGCCCCTTGGGTCCACGAATTCTCTCATCCTCCTGGGTTTATCCATAAATTCTGCACTTTGTTAATCACCGTTTATCTCTACACTTGCCTCTCGCGCTGCGCGTAAAGTTGGTTTTCCACTCCGCGCAAGGCGTTTCTCTATATCCAAGCACCTTCTTTTATACAAACCTCAAATCCGCCTGATGCTTGAATACTGCAGTCACGTATCGGGTGGAGCTTCGTATTGAGCTCTTCCTCTCCTTGACCGTGTTCAACGTGAAACCATCCGGTTGATCGACGTACCCTCTCTAACTTTAACCGTGCGGTCGCATTCCCATCGCCGGGGAGTTGCTTCGTTATCTCTTTTCTATCGTTACTATTTTGGTTTCTGCTCTTCCGAACTCTCTTCAGCGGTTCCCCTTCCATTGACCTTCTCTCGTCCATCCCGTTCTCAGGCGACCAGTCACCCTTATCAGGTTTCTGTCCCCAGATGTCGGACTTCTATCTTTCAGTATTGTTTTTTTTCCTGAGGACTGGAAAATTGTGGAACACTCTTTCCACTACCGTGTTTCCAACTTTTATAAACTCAACCTCTTCAAAAAAAGATTAAAAATTGGTTCCTACTTGAAAGTTCTCCCACATACCTTCATTCTTACAATATATTATTGTTGATTATGGAGTTTACCCATTTTGCTGTAAATCACTTCGTGCGTAATAAAAAAAGCTCATCAAAAAGGAGGAGGTGGATGATCGACATGTTGTCCTACCTCGATCAGGAATTTTTACAACTATTTTGAAAAGAGTAACCAAATGCAAAGAAATGAACAGATCGCGCGTTATCACTAAAAGATTTCACAATTCCGCAGTGTTTTGCATGTACAATCTATCACAACAAAACCGCACCCTAATACAATGGGCAGTTTGCGTCTCCATGACCATGCGAGCTATACAGCGTGGCTAATGAAAGCCGAGGATCTAATAAACGGGTAGAGACCGGACAAAAATTCAGGATCCCAATGTCAGCTGCTCTGACACCTTCTGGCTTCCTTTGTCTATCCGAGCTCGCTCCTGGACAGGTCACTCCCGCGAATAAACACGGAGAAGCGCAGTTTACGGGTCAACCTCCGGTACCACACAAGATGGACGTGGCAGTCGGCTTCCCCCCGATGGTGGGAAAAGTCTTCG